AAAGAGTCAGGTCTTAAAGAAGACTGCCAAACTGTCAGCTTTTAAGCTTTTTGGGGTTGGGCTTGTCTTTTGGGGGTGGAAACCTACACCACCTAGCCTTTGGTTCCTCTCCAAGACTGGTGCTACTCCTATAGCACAAATCACCCCTATGGGCTCGAGATGCCAAAGCTACTGCACAGAACAATGCAGCAGGGCACCAGCCCCCATACTTGGCTGAATAAGAGACAGGACGTATGATGAGCTCTGCAAGGCCAGGGACCATATCCCATGTAGGGAGAGACCTGCACAAAGCAGCAATAATAAGACACCATAATTAAAACAGACACTTTTTGGCCCTTTGCCAGTTCCATACCTTTCTCTGCTACAGGCAAAGAATTCACAACCCCAGGCAAGAGAGAGTCACCTGCCTTCATAAGTGCAGGGTCTGGCTACCCCTCTTCTCCCAGTTCTGGTCTCACCTAGTTTTTGGCCCATGTTTTTGAGGTTGTCCAGATCATCAGACATAGAGTAGGAGAAGTCCATGAGGATGTAGAGATCCACGGGGCTCTCAAGGGGCTGGAAGACATCCATGTCGAAGTTCATCTCCTCCCCGGCTCGCAGCCGCATGAACATGCTCTGGGGGGACACCTCGGTCCTCCTCTGGGACTTGGTACATTGTGTAGTGGCTGGACTCCATGTCCTGTGCATACGCAATGAGGAGGTGACAAGGAACAGGGGAATACTCGGGAAATGGAAAGCCAGGGATGATTGCACACCCTTCCTTCACGTACAGCTGGAGACTAGCTGCTGAGTCAGTGTCCCCTCCCACTGACCACCTCCACCTCCTCCAGACTGTGGCATTTTGCATATATCTATTTAGTCTGAAAAGTCACCCCAGCCACAGTGAATAGGACCGGCTGTGAACAGGTTCCCCCAGCTGGCAAAGGAAGAGCATTGCTTTTGAGTAAGCTCTACATAAAAAGTGGTGTGTACTTCATATTTTCCCTGCACAAGAGCCTAGAGGAGGATGAAGGACGCAAAGGATGTTGGAAAAAGTAGGACCCTTCAGAAGAAGTGGAACAACAAATCTCTACCTAGCACCTACCTGCAGAGCCCTCATCTCGCCTCTCATGTACACAATACTGGCCTCCTCGCAGCCGTATCGCAGCAAATTCTCCCGCAAGTCGCAGCGAGGCTCTTTGAAACTCTGCAGCAACAGAGGAAGAACGTTACAAGCACAGAAAGCAGCAAATCTCCACACACAAAGTGGCAAATCTCCACGCAAGGAGGCCACACTGCTGGTCAGAAAGCAGGATCCTCTTCTGAGATGGTTAGATCTGGTGAGCCTTTACAAGCAGGAGAGCAGCAGGCAGATGGGGATGGATCTAGCACAGAGCAGCCAATGCCCCCTCGGGCACTGAGGAAATGCTACAACCAGTGAGTCACTGGGTCTTCTGGGGCAAGACTCTCCCTCCCTCCTTGGCATACACCTTTTCCCAGGAGCTCCAGATTTGTCAAACAGGCATTTTCTGATAAATCCCTGTATTTCTGGAAGTTTGCCCTGGACTTCCCTTCCTCCCCATTTGCCAGTGTAGGCTGTCTGAGCCAAAGGAAATCCACGTTTTAAGAGCTTTCAGTCTTGTAGAGAGAAGTTCGAGTCAGCAGCTGACTCTGCACTCAAGTTCCTCTCCTGGATTTCACCTGGGGTAGCGTGATCTCTCCATTCACAGGGTGTGAAATCAGCCTGGAAGCGGAGTCCCACACTCCCCTGAAAGCTCTCACCTCATCTGTGCAGAAGGAGCAGTCCTTGTCCACGCGGACACACTCAGTGCAGCTCTTCGCTTGGGACAACACGCAGCGGTTATCTAGGGGGAATGTGGAAGCATGAGGAACATGGGAATTGGGTAGGATGCGGAAGGGCACAAGAAGGGCAGATCCTGTTCCTGTGGAAGTTGGTGGGAACTTTGCATGGGTGTTCAGTGGCAGAAGGCTACAAAACAGCTGCTGGGTACATGAGAGAGGCGTCCCAGCTGCTGGGGAGCTAACAGACAAGAGAGAAGGCACACAGCAGATCTAATATCTTATCCCTACGAAGACCTTTATCTTCTGGAGCCAAGGAGGAGTTTATACTGCCCTAGAGGGAGCGAGCAGAGATCACGGATTGACATAAGAGGACCGCACTCACTTTTGTTCCTTTGGCAGAGGCCTGTGGTGTAGAGCAGGGACAGGAGAAGCAGCCCAGCGCACACCCTTGGCAGCATATCCATCCTCTTCCTCCTGAAAAACATCTGTCAGCAACATCACAGCTAGCTCCAGCCACGGCCGGGGGTGCTGAGCTGCCAGTCTTCCGCAGGAGCCAGGACTGGTGCAGGAGCATGGACTGCTCCCTGACGGAGCCCAGCACCATCCTCATGTATAAGCAATGACCAGGTTGAGACCTTCCTTTTCCTGCTAGCTTAAAGTGAAGCAGAGAAGAAAAACAAGGCGACTGTCTGCATCTCGCCCCAAAAGCAAAATAGACCCCTCCCTTTGGCTATTTCCTATTGCACTAAGAATTTCCAGGATGGTCGAACCAACAATAGATAGAGGGTGAGGCCTCGGGAAGTGCCCGACCAGGAGCTTTGGGCTGCCTGGAGCTGCTGAATGAGTCTGTGGTTTGAGAGCCCGACGCTTTTCTCCTCCGCCTCGTCAGAGGTGATGCAGGGAGCCAGAGGTGAAATCCTAAATAGAGGAAGCCCTTTTTCCTGCAACCACGCTTCCACCCATGATTTATTATCTGGCCATCAGAAAACTCTCAGTGCTGCCTCAATTTCTGCATTTAGACCTGGTAAACAGAAGAGAGAAAACTGGAACGTGAGCTCTGCGGCTGCCTGGCTGAAGGGGGCCCGGGCTCCTGTACCACAGTAGGGAAATTGGAATATTCAAGGCAAAAAATTTGGTCTAAAGATAAATTTAAAGCGTCTCTTTTATGGAAGATACAAGTGTAAAATATAAGATACGGACAAATTGTCCAATAGCTTCTTACTCTGTTCACCCTTATGCTTCTAACCGTTGCCTTACAAACCATCAACCTCATATTTAACGGGATAATTTCCCGCATGCAGGCTGTGGTGGCTGTGGGGGTGCACAGAGCCTGTTTCCAAATAGGAATTTCCCTCTGGAAGGGAAAATTTCACTTTCACTTTGGAAAAACTGCAGCACTTTGGCTGGATTTTCATGACAATGAGAAAAAGCTGTTTAGCTGTCCAAAGCCAAGGAATGATTTGGATTGGCTCCTGACTGTATGATGCCACCCCAGCCCTTCCCAAACACACATGTGCTCCAGCATTCCCGCCTGCTTCGTCCCACCCACCCCCTGCCTCCACCTTGGCCCAGCTGACAGACCTGCTCCGGACAGGGCGGACGGACGGGGGGGACACGTGCTGGCGGGCAGCACCTTAGGGCAGGAAGGGAAAAGTGCTTTGGAGCTGACGGTGAAAGGGGGAAACCTCCCCAAAATTGTTTGACACCCACTCGATACTTGGATTTGGTTGCTGGGGAACAAAACTGGGGAGTTTCAGAAACTTTGTGCCAATAGCATCTCATCTCCTCAGCTGGAGGCTTTTGGAGCAGATACAGAAAAGTCCCCATCCCGCTGAGTTGGGTCAAGATGCTCCACCTCTACGGGCTCACTCATCCGCATGGATTTCGGGGCCTGGCGTGGTTTTAGCCAGCGCCAAGCAGCCCCTGAGCCCGGGCCAGGCCCACCCCACAGAGGGGAGAGACACAACAGCCTTTTGTTGCATTCAAACCCACAAAACACCCAATGCTTCAGTGCCTTCAGGTTTGCCAGGGCTTGGGATCTCAATGAGGTTGCAGGGCTGAGGAATTCCCCCAGCCTCGCTCCTCCTTCCCTTTCAAGGAAAAGCACCCGGGACAGGGAGGGGAGGCAGGGCAGTCCGAAACCAGTAGCACATCCTGCAGAAGCACATCTGTCCTCTGCTCCTGAAGCCAGAAAGTCAAACAGACCTTCCCAGGCCTCATACTGACCCACCTGAAAGCACTGGCTCTCCTTAGGAGTAGGAGACAACCAGACACAGGCAGCAGCGTGCCGGAGGGCATAAACTGCCCAGGAAAAATACAGAGCCCCAAAGCCATCAGCCTGGCGCCCAAGCACGCGAGCACAGTGCTCAGCGTGGGCTGGGAAGCCAGGGGAGATGTTCAAGCCTGCAGCTCGCCCCAGGCACAAATTACAGAGCCCAAACCCGGTATCAGAGAGCCCGGGGTGCTAGGGGCAGGGAGCCGAGGCGCTCCTGCACAGCCTGCAGCCTTGTCCCCTCTGCAGGGGACTGCCAGGCGCCCCTGCCCTTCCTGTGGTTACAGAGCATCGGGCTCCTTGCTCTTCTCCTCAGCCTCATCTTGCCAAATCACCCTTCCAGGCTCCTCCCCAAGCCAGTGCTGATCACGGAGGACGCACAGCCAGCAGCAGGGGCTATGTTGGCTGGCTCTGCTCCCAGGAGCATGAGCACAGCTCAAGCCACAATCTGGCCTTTGCCCCAAGCCGGCCTAGGCAAAGAGGAGGATGAGCAGGAACACGTTTCACAAGGAGCCCTTGCAGTCCTCTGCAGACGCCCAAGTCTGCGGAAGAATCCCCAGGGAGGGATAACCCGAGGCACCAGTACAGGCTGGGGCCTGACCTTCTGGAGAGCAGCTCTACAGAGAAGAACCTGGGGGTCCTGGTGGACATCAAGTTGAACATGAGCCAGTAATGTGCCCTCGTGGCAAAGGCAGCCAATGGTATCCTGGGCTGCATCGAGACCATTGCTAGCAGGTTAAGGGAGGTAATCCTTCACCTCTACTCAGCCCTGGTGACGCCACATCTGGAGCGTAGTGTTGAGTTCTGGGCTCATCAGTACAAGAGAGACATGGACATCCTGGAACACATCCACTGAAGGACCACAAAGATGATTAAGGGACTGGAGCATCTCTCGTATGAGGAGAGGCTGAGAGATCTCGGACTGTTTAGCCTAGAGAAGAGGAGGCTGAGGGGGATCTTATCCATGTTGATAAATATCTGAAGAGAGCGTACAAACGGGACAGGGCCAGACTCTTCTCAGTGGTGCCCAGTCACAGGGCAAGAGGCAATGGGCACAACCCGAAACAGAGGAAAGCCCACTTGAACACAAAAAAACACTTCTTCATTGTGAGGGTGGTCGAACATGGAAACGGGCTGCCCAGAGAGGTTGTGGAATCTCCATCCTTAGAGATTCCTAAAAGCCAACTGGACACGGTCCTGGGCAACCTGCTCTAGCTGACCCTAGTGGAGCAGGGGGGATTGGGCCAGGCGATCTCCAGAGGTCCCTGCCAACCCCAACTACTTTGTGACTCTGCAAGCCTGTCTGCTCACCAAGACCCTTGCAGGCTGTTCTCCACTCCCTCCTCAAACACTTTGGCCTTCAGAAAGTTATGGCAACTGGCTACTCCAGAAACGCCTTGTCCAAGCTCCCAGGGGAGCATCAGACTCTTGCAGCTCCTGCACCTCCCCTCCGTGTTCGGGCAGCAGGGACAGCATAAGGACCACGTGTGTTAGAGCTGACACCGTGTGCACCAGGCACCAGCACCTTGCTAAATGGGCGGGCTCTGGAAGAGATGACGCTACAGCGAAGCAAAACGCCCTTTGCACCCATCTCCAGCCAAAGCCCAGTCTGGAAGGGCCAGGGGAGCGGCCATCTGCCCGCGCGGGCCTG